AAGTATTTTTGTACTTTGATATGAGATTGGTTGCGAGTTATGACGGAATATTTTCTCGTTAACAGCTATCAGCTGTATAATGTTACCACTTGCCATGTCGAAAGTGTGTAACAAATATGTGCCATCGGTGATAATGTAAAATATATGGTGGATACAATATAACGTATATTAGTAAATTCAACAATAATTTACTTATAAGCAAAAGGGCCCAAGTCGATTTTTATCAAAACTGAAGTTATGTTGTTGGTATTATACTAGATGATGGAAAACATTTAACATCTGGGCGTTTGTCTAACTACACACGATAGCATTTAAAATGTATTAGTTACTGCACGAATTTTTTTAATTTTATTTTTTTAATATTCATTGCAACGAGTAATATTAATTTTACTACACTATTTCAATTTTGTATGAAATGTTTGTTTTAAAATAATCAATTAAATGATCTTATACTCGAATCGGATTTCAATTGATTTCAAAATTAGCTAGGTTATGTTTTTATCGAGTTACTTACTTAACATTGCTTGATAAATATTTTCACTGAATCCGTATAAAATAAAAATCGTTGAAACTAGACCGTACCTAAATTGTAAAAAATAACTTCATGTTATCATCGTTTATTTTAAAAAGGGGCGTACCTCGTGAGGATGAATGTTTAATATAAAAATATGTATCTCAGCGTAAAGCGTTTGAAAGAGACTTCATCGATACTAGTTAAGTATTTTTTGAATATATAGTGCAGAGTGCTGGTTCATAGTTAATCGGCTCTCTATAATTAATACTGATGCGTATAATTATACATACAGGAATTTTACATTACACACAGTGATGAATTAACATATTAGATATGCGGCTAAACACGTCAGGCATTTTAAAATGCTACAAATTGGAACAGCAGTCATTGTACTATAATATAATCAATACGCGGGTTTATCGCAAATTGTAATCAGTAAACAATGTAATCAAATCACGAGACATCTATTTTAATGCGCACTTTTATTAGTCTTAAAATTCTACATCTACTGATAGCTAGTAGGATACAATTGATTGATTTATTATTTATTATTTATAATAAATCAGTCGAGGGAGTTTTACGTTTTTATCATAATTCTACAACCAACAGTGATTTGTCTATCATTGCCTACAGGTAGCATATATCCGCTACAAAAATAACTTCTCTCATGTTCTCGTTTTAATATAGCATACATAACGTAAAATGGCGCAATGAAAAACAAAAAATATTGGGCTAACAGAAAATTTTGGTTAATTGGGATAAATTAAAAAATAAAAATACAAACTTTTTTATATTTGATTAAATGTACTTTTTTTGTGAAAATTATTTTAAAATACATTTAAAATGTATACGCACGTAGTTCTTCTATCTTATTTATTGTAGTTCAAGGTAATGACAAAACACAAAATTATATATTATTAAGGCGTTCGTATATTGTGGTAATAAAATAATGCCATTCAGATTGTTATGTACGGCCCACTCGTCTTTAAAAAATATTGGTTCTTCATCTTTAAATTCCGATGCGAATCTGAGGAGGTATTGATTTTACATTTACATTGATGTGGGTTTTATTTGTCAATTCACACAATAATTACTTTTAAGCCTACTGAATTCTTTAAATAAATTGCTTTATGAAGTATTCATTTTTATTAGTCATGTCACTATCTAACGATAACTAAAACACTTACTTTTGATACCTTTACAATCAGTAAGCAAGTATTGACCAACATCAACCATATATATATATAAATATATACAAATACATTTAGTATATTAGTGTCGACATAATATTACATTAAGAGATATTAACAGGCCCCGTTTTGGTTATCATAAAATTTAATTTTAATTATGAAAAGTAGATGTAATGCGTTTAAATATTTAAACTCAGTTTCTTGAGATTTTATTTTTTATTGTAATTGCGTCGAATAGAAAAATACTTATAACATAATACTTTTCAACAAATTTCACGCTTAATAAAAGTATAACGTGTTTTATTTATGTAAATATTTTTAATTTAATTTTTCTGTTTTATTGTATATACTTTGAAGTTTAATGTATTAATATATTATGTATATATAACTGTAATTTCTATAAGTAAAACGATAAATTACCCAAATAAGCTTTTAAAATGCGTGTAGTGCGTACTATAATATATACCTACGCATTGTTATTCATAAACTCAATTATGATCTACTTTATGCCCTGCATTGTTCTCTTGTAGCAAAACTTTCATGATACAACATTTATATTTTCTCTAACAATTTTCACCGTCACCTCTTCTTAACTAATAAATAGAGGCCGAATTTCTATGATTTTACCCGATTTTTTTGGGATATTCACCTATATAGCAACTGGAGTAAGATTTTCAGATTATTGCATTAATAGAAAATTCACAGGACAAAGTTTATTTTGCATGTTTGAAATTGTTTTAATATTTTAGAATTTATCGCAATTTATAAAAAAAAGTCGTATTTTTTAGTTTTTGCTTAGTCTTTTTTTATTTCAAAAAAATTTGATAAAAACTACTTTATTTTTATTTATTATTTAAAAACTTTAATTGTTGTATTTAATATTATGTTTCATATTACATTTATGTATTTTGTGTTGTATGATTAAATGAATGATTCAAAAGAAAATTGATTTAACCTGTACAAATATTGTACTTAAATTGTTAAATTGATGTTCATGAGCAAATAATTGAGTTTATTTTATTGAGTTTTAACCAAATATACTGTAGGCAGTAGTTTTAATCAGTGTTTCTTTATTTGGTACTGTAAAATGGTGTATTATTTATTAAAAAAGGTATAGTTAAACTATGAATTATATTTTAAAAAGGGCATTTGAAGTTTCATACAAATGCATATTTGTATTTTTGAGTGTTGTTTGGTGTATTTTTCAGGGTTTTATTATTAGTATATTTTTAGGTGTTTTAGCACATAAAAATCCTGGGCTTTATTAGTAAAGTCCAGAATTTAAAAACAACCCTATGTGCTTGCTTTAATGGCCACATTTTTTTGCACTTACTAACAAAACATTATACAATACTGAATATTATCAGACAGACGACCTTTGGTGCTTCTATTAAAAATTGTTGAAGTGTCTAAACCGGCATTACATAGATATATAGCTGTATAGTTCCATTTAAAAATAAAATTTTATAAAAAAAAAAAACGAGCACTTGTTCAAATAAATCTAACCACTCCCCGCTTACAAAATAGTTTTGTTAATGTTGAACTAACCAATGAATGCGTTTACTGTGTTTTCAATGGTTTAGATATATGTGCCAGTCCATATTTATCTCGTCTTGTTTTTGAACACACAAAATGCTGTTGTTGGATCTGAATAATACTGCCTATAGTGACTAAAACAATGTGCAATATCTACGCTTCTAAAATTCATTTCAATATTAGAATTTTTGTATCTTTGTTATTTGAATTACTAAATCAAAACTGTGATAATTATAGTTTACATTCTGTTGTAAAATCGAGACGATTTTGGTTTCCTTTTTAAATTAACTACGTCTTTAGGCAGTTGAACAATCATTTTTGGGGTTAATGGCTTGGTCTTAAGTGTTTTCGGAAGAGGATTGGTAAATTATGCGTCCAAATTCTAATCTTCTGCATTCCGTTACGTTACGATTGTTATCAATGGGTGTTCCACGTGTATTATAGTTTGCGGATCTTCTTTAGCCCTACGACGGTACAATGTGACATGTGTTATGTAGGTGTGTCTAATTTTTTTTATCGATAATTACTTCCTCGGTTTGACATGTTATTTTTCATTTCATTTAGTTTTGTGCTACTGCGGATGCTCACCGTTATTATTGACGAAATTAAATGCATTTGGTCTATGATAACTGAATTTAATTATGTTATTTTTTCGTTAATAAACCTGAAAATGTTTGTATATATGATTTGAGACAAATTTTTTGTAACATGCTACTTTAGAATTTCCAACTGCAATTGCTCGGGAACTTCATAAAGTAGTTGAATATTGTGTATATATTTTGAACGATCTTTGATAAATCACTTTGAACAGTGTAAAAACGCTACTTTTTAATTGCACGGTTCCCAATCAACTCGATTTCTACAAGAAACAAACAAAAAGTGAAGTGAAAATCGTTGTTAAACTGTCGTCGATTTATTTGAAAATCAAGTACGATAATCGGAGATAAGTAGTCCGGATGATTAATAATGATTAATGAGTAATCTTTTATTTAATGATATAGAAAAAAAAATACACATTTATCTTAGACATTTTATTAAAAAAAAACCTCAGATTGGGAATTATGAAACAAATTGTATTACAATTTATTGTTTTATGTTATCTTTTATTTCCGAGTTCTGACCATATGTTGTGTTTATCTCGTGTAGTTCGTTATACAGAAACTTTATCTTTTATCTAGGTAATCAATGTTAATATTATCTTCCTCTGCTCGGAATGCTCGAGGATACAGCCTGTAAACCGTCGTCTTTAAATGGATATCAGAACAGTGTTTTCTTCGGATATTATTTTGTTGTTTTTTTTCTCCGTGTATATTATACCGTCGTACCTATGACTTGTGAGTCATTGTCGCCCCACTGAAAACTGGTTGTCCGTGGTTTCGCCAAAGGTATACAGGTATACATCGTGCACGCGCTTGCGCACACACAATGTACATTGCGTATACGATACGTATACATTAAACGTATCAAACTCTGATGAAACGAAATTCGGCGTCAATAGAAAATTACATTGCGTCGTTTATTACACGGTTTATCCTCGAATGCGGTTTTCAAAACGCAATTCTATCGGGTGTCGCGCAATGTCGCAACAGGTCTGTCGACGCCGTCTTGCCCAATTGTACATTACAATAATTTATAATCGTTAATTTTTCTAAAAGCTCACTAGCATTATCTATTAGTTCTACGTGGGCAGTATGCATTTATACTATTAATATATATAATACTATATAAATGTATTTATTTTGATTATTTATCGGTTTCAGCTGACTTGGAAAATATGGCACCGGATCAAATGGGACCGGACGATGACGCGGGCGTGACCGCTTTGAGCAACTGTGGAGCTTCCGTGAACACCGTCTTCGTCACGGTACCTGCCAGTCCATTTCCAACCCGGGTGAGTTCATTTTTTCTTATTTAATATATACTCGGATACTCTTTATTTTCGTCTGTTGTGTGCCAAACGATGGCAAAAATAACTTAAAACCTAGCGGTTGTACAAATCTTGATATTTACACAAGAATATAAGTTTTAATGGGTTTATGCGTACCCAATAAAAACGTATAAAATAACATTGCCATCTCTGAGCAATGAACACAAACACCGAATACGGAATCTCTTTACAAGACTTTCCAAAGCCGTTCACTTACCCTAACGCGCTGGCGACGTTTCACTGTTTTTTTTTTTTTGGAATAGTCATGGTACTGTTTTTCTAATTGTTTGTCGATGCATTAATTACTATTGAAGTACGAGTAATCCGGCATTTTTTTAATTATTGCGGAAAACAATACAAGTTTTCAATTTCAGAACACGACCGAAAATGGACGCGAATGTGGCGTTTAATATTGGCTGTACCTTTTTTTTTTTTGTTGCTGTAATTGTTTTGTTCTATTGAAATTCGACAAATTGCAACGAGCTCCTAATTGTCTTTGGCACCGTAAACAGATGAACCGCGGTGTGCCGTTACCGTACTCACGAATGCTTGATGTAAATAGACTTGGAATTGTATTATCATCGTACCGCTGCTTCTGGAGATAGCATTCGGCCGAGCTCGCCGTTGCTTTATATGGCCAGGATCAGGCCCGGCGATGATTTATTTTTAAAAACGCATGAGGGGTCAATATAAATAGAAACAAACGCGCACGTAGAGACAAGACACACGCGAAGAATATAGAAGATACGTGCTTGGACAACTATCAAGTGGTCAGCAATGCGACAAATGTTCGTTTATTTCCTATGGGGCAAACACGGCAAGGAGTGGGAAAGGGAGGGTAGACCCCCACGCCGCACATCAGTGTATTACGACTTCTCTTCCGTTTCTTTACCGATATCGCACAGATTACACTTTCTTTTTCATAACAATATTGTATCTCTGATAATATTTTACCATAGACGAAATTCTGTGTATCGGCGGCACGAGTTGGTTGCTGGCCGTTTAATAAAATAATACCAATATATCATTTTTCCTTGAACTAAACGGTTATGATTTTTGTGCACAGGAAGAACAACAGCTGTCTTCCGAAGACGTTTCCATCGGCGACGGCGAGAAAGACAAAGGCAACTCGTCGACGGACGACAACGAGGACGATGACCTTACGTCACTCAGTTGGCTGCAAAACAAGAATCTCCTCAAAGGTTAGAATATTATATATACGTTGTGTACACTGTACAGTATATATATATATATATATATATATATATATATTTAATACCAAGTACCGATAGAACACAATGTTCATGTATAATCAAATGTACCGTGTATAACAAAAATTAATAAACCGTGTTTACGTTCCGGATTGTTAGGCAAGCGTGGTCAGTAGTACGCCCTTTTTATAAGTGAATAGAAGTACTTTAATTTCGTGCATTTAGGTCAGATCCGTCGTAGCCATTACTATCGCCCGCAGTGTTTTATAAAATAAATATGGCTGCTGACGGAAACTTTTAGGCATTTTCAATAAACTATGTAAACACGCATATACATATGCTGATAACCCATCTAGATGTTTGTACAGTTTCCATGTATGTGTATAGATTATTATTATTATTCCAGCAACTACTTACTGAGACCGATTAATTGTCATGTTTAGAACAGTTTAAAATGTTCGTCTATAATTTCTAGCTCCCCAGAACAATTACCTAATTTCTATTTTATTTTTATATAAAAAAAAACCACAAAATTCCTATTTCTAGTTGTAAATTATGTGTGTTTTTCTTCGACCTTAGACACTGATCTAAAGCTTATTGATTAACCCAGTCATAATGACATTTACTTCCAGCAAAAATTGTTGACTAAAAATTAAATTAACTGCAAAACGTGATTCAGTTAGGTAGGCAATTGAAAAAGAGAAATTAACGTGTTAAATTTAAATTAAATTTGTTGTATGGAAGTTATTTAAAACATTTTACTGTAAATGATTATTTTTTTTTTACCTGTGCGATTTTGATGCATTAAAAAATTAAAAACTTTGGTTATTGCGTTTTAAAAAATTGTATTTATTAGATTTGTTTGTCCTCTGTTGGGGTTTGTAGCGTAGAACAATTATAAAAAATACCATGTTATTTATGAGCAGGAAAAGTTTAGGTAATCCTGATAAATGAAATAAAATGTTGATCGCTTTATTTAAACGCCAAGTGAGATGAAATATCTTCTGTAGGCCACCATAAAAAATATAACATAATATATAAAAGTATAAAGTATGCTTTTATGGACTGACGAATTATTTTCTCTCTAGAGCTTTTTATCTTTAAAAAATGTTTGCTTTCATCTTGTTTTTCAGGTTTCAATTATAAAAAAAAATTTGCTATTCATTTAAACCTTTGAAATATTAAAAATTTGCTGAAATTATTTAAGCGTGGTTTAAGATTAAATCGTTTTTTACGTATTCCGTTTGTAATTGAATAATATAGACCACAACAGACAATAAAACTTTGAACGCAAAAAATAGCTTTGAGCAGTAAGAAATTATTACCATAGGAACGACTATTGATTACAAAAAAAAAAAACTATAATGTTAAATAATAAATATATATATTATTTTGAACCAATGCTTTATACGGTTATTTTATTTCATACAAAATATTACATAATTATTGAAGTTGATTATACAATAAGATATCTGTATTCATTAATATTACAACACACATTTATAATATTACAATTTACAAACGGTTTATTTTCTGTTTTTAATAACTATGGGATAATGTATTGTGCGCAATTATTATACTTCAATAATATGATATATAACATTCGAATTCTAGTTAAATAGGAGAATTTTATATTATTATTTTATTCTCAGTATTGTTACGCATTTAAAGGAAAAATGAATATTATTTATGAATAAATGAAATTCTGGTACTTGCAGAATGTTGTAATTACTCCCAACTCAATTTTGATTGATGTACATTTCACACCAGGCTCAGACTTAACTGTTTTATATATTATTATGTTTGTCTTCCTTTAATTTAACATTTTGAAAAGCTATTGTTTACGTACTGTATAGTAGGTAAACCGTAGTAATATCAATTGAAATTATAATATAATACCGTTCTGTAATATATATATATATATAGAGTCTTTCATATTTTATGTTACAGCAAACATTTTATGAAATACTCAAAATAGACAAAAATTACCAAGTATTATTTTTTTTAGTATTTTCCAGAGCACTTTTAACTTTTGAAACATTTATGGTAACGTATATCTTTAATTAACTTTGTAAATTAAGAATAATTTGCTGAACATTTTGACCGGTCGATAACCAGTTTTGAATAAAGTTTAAAATTTAGGACAGGTGGAACGGTGAAGTGTAGTTTCATTTTTGTCAGCGCGCATTACTCGACCGCTTTTTACTTCCCGTTCTTAATTATAAACTTAAATAACTTTTAAAGTAATTATTCAAAACTGGTTATCGACCAGTCTTTTGTATGCGCTGATAATGGTAACATTGTTGCCCAAATACGTATACGCTATAGAGTATTATTTTTGTGGTTAATAGTTTATTATTTTATTTCTTTACTAAATTATTCTTAATTTTTTAATTTTAACTAAATATATACGTTTAGTAAAAGTTTCAAAAGTTTATAGAGCTCTAGAAAATATTAAAAAAGTAAACTTGGTAATTTTATAATATTGTAGATCATGTAATATAATAGTATATTTAAGTATACGTGGTCATTTTTACTTATTTTGAGTATTTCATTGAAATTTTAGCTGCAACATAAAACTTGAACGTCTCTTTATTTATACATAAATTTAAATATTTTATTGATAAATATCAAACATTTTAATATTTTTTTATAAAGGTTCTCTATTAAAAAAAAAAAAATTATTTAATAAGCATATTAAAAACATTTTACACCGTCGTTATGTTATTTTTGTCTGTGATGTAAGTCAGGGTTATCTTTGGTCTCGTGACTTTATGCCGCTCTTATTAAATTATCATTATTATCACAATGTGCTACCTATTAATTGTATTTATTTCAGTGCACTTAAACTCTTCTAGTATCTACTCGGGGTGGACACTTATAATTATTATAATTTGTATTCTGAACGTCGAATATCTTATATAAATAATTTTATACACATTTATAATTATACAAATTATATAGATAACTAAAATCATGATAGACATAACCGTTGTGAAATGAAACCATATTGCTTCTAGATTTGACACAAAATTGTATTGTCATTTTTATTTTTACTTAACAGGAGTTCACGAGCTTCCCAAAACTGATTATGCAGACGAAGCGTCCTCTGACTCGCGTTCGTCGAGCGGTCAGTCAATATCGCCTGTCCGCTGTTGGACCACCGTGTCCAGTTTACCCAAAGTGTCCGCACTGCGGTCGTCTAGCTACGATCCAAAAGTAAGTACACACCATTCGATGTAAGTACATCGAGCTTAATCAAATATTCTCGAGTACCTACACATCTATACACGCTTTCCAATAGAGTTGGCGAACAAAACCAACATAAAATATACCTAACCGGAGGCAACGAACACACGTTGCGAGTCTGGAAATGTCAGCGATGATGCGGAAAATACCTAAATAAACATAATTTATCATGTTAGAAAATGAGCGTTAAACCCGCGCCGCTTTTCCATATTACCTATTATTGTATACCCGTTGACGGTTGACTTATTATACCCACTCAACAGCTGTTGTACAATAATAATGAATCGGTAGCAATAATTCTCATCTTACAATTCAGTATACTATTGTTATTTATGCGATTATGCGTAAGTGATAAGTACACATATTGTACGCTCTCGGCGGCTTTACACGTTTCGCAGGCGTGAACATAATCGAACGGTACTTTTGTTAAACCGGAAATTTTTTTGAAGCGATAAGATCATCCGTATTTTGACATCTTCGATAAAATATAACAAGTTTAAAGTGCCTCCTCAGCTTCGCGTTAGAATCTCGTTAAAATATTACCAAAGCACTGAAAAGAAAAGATACCCTACAAATATAACGAGTATTATAATATAGACGTTTCGTTTTTTGAGCTCCTCAAAAATTCATCGGGCTAAAATAATAATTAGAAAAATAATTTGCTACCTTTGACGATGTTTCACGTCGCTGATTTCATTGTGTTAATACCTACGCGAGAGCTATTAACATTATCAAGTACAATATTGATTATAAATACTATTTATATTATTATATATTATTTAATGTATATATTTATTTTATATTTAGTATTCATATAATCAATCGCGTGCTACACAAATATGTTTTTTTTTTTTAATGTTAGTTTATTATGTCCAATAGGTGCATACCGAGTCAAAACCGCCGTACTCGTTTTCCTGTCTTATATTCATGGCAATAGAAGATTCGCCAAAAAAAGCCCTGCCTGTCAAAGACATCTACGGCTGGATCGTAGATCATTTCCCGTACTACAAGAACGCACCTACCGGCTGGAAAAACAGCGTCAGACACAACTTATCGCTGAACAAGTGTTTCAGAAAAGTGGAAAAAGCGCCGGTAAGTGTGCAGTAACTCGGCGGGTTAATGTTTGAAGTTTAAAAATTGAAATTTTGTCCCGGCAGAACTTGGGGAAGGGATCCCTGTGGATGGTGGAACCGTCTTACCGGCCGTGTCTGATACAAGCCTTGCAGAAAACTCCATACACCAAGGGCTACAGCAAAAAGACGGTGACGGCCAGTCCTATCAGTCAATCTTTGGAAATCCAAGTGAAAGACGAACGAAGCGAGGACGAAATGTCCACGGTCAGCGACGTGGACGCCGCAACGGCTATGCTAGTGTTAAAACACGGGCCACACGTTCGCATCGTCCATGACAGAGGTATTGTTTTATAAATAATTACGGCATATTAGGCTTAAGTGTGTAATTTTGTAAACAATAAAAACAATAAGTACCGTAAACGTATTTAGATATTGGGACATCTGGCAATACTTTGGAATAATTTTAACAAACTGTTTAAAAACCAAAGCATAATTAATGCACACGCCGGAATTTGAATAAATAACGATTTTAAAAATACGTCACTACATACATATTATATTTTAGTAAGATAATTGTATGAATATTTACTAGTCGTAACATATTTTTTCAAATTGTTATAACAGATCGTTTAGCGTTTCTAAACGGTTTTAGACAAAAATTCTATTAAAATGGAAAAGTGCTGAGCAGAACATTTGTAAATTTCATGCCATTAACTGTTCAGCCTCGAAAGTTTTAAACGCGGACTAATCAAAATGTCTAAAAATAGTGACGCGGTAAAAATGCTTAAAACCTTATGGCTAAGCTTTAGAATACGATTAGCTTTCATATCTGTCACAAAGGCTGTGGGCTATTTCCGATTGTTCTAGAAAAAAATTAATTTAATCACACTAGCTGGTAATACAATACATTTGAAAGCTTTTTATTAAAATTTAGGTTTATAACTTCGAATATGATAAAATATAGTACACATTCAAAAACATGATCTATTAATAATTTCTTATTTATTACCTAATTGTGCATATAAATTAAAATATGTTTTTTACTAATTTAAAGTGGGTATATAATAATAATAATAATAATGTACGCACATACTAGGCGTTTTTATTAACAGATGGAATTATTATTTTCAGATTGGCAGCTGGCACAGACGAAACCTAACACTGAATCAGAATTAGCGGAAGTGAGAAATGTGAGTGTAATAACATTTTTCTTTACACCTACCATGTTTACGAACATTTTCTTTCATCTTTAATGGTTTAATATTTATTCTGTGAAATGATTGCCTTTATTGATATTTATCGATTACTTAATATTTTTTATTCGAATTTGTTAAAATTAAAAAAAAAGTGATTAGGTTTAACGCTATTGATCAGCAATGTCATAAAAGACAATATCTACCCACTTTTATCCAATTAAAATAACCATTATTTGTAAATAAAACTTAATTATCTAAGATAACTTTTTTAATCTTCTCTCTGACTCAGTGTGATAACAATTTTTATATTTTTTGTTTAGCTTTATCCCATAGTTACAATTTGTCCAAGTGAGGATCATACGTACGATAATTGCTTCAAAACTGACAGGTAATTTTAAACAAATATCTGTAAATTTTTTTTAAACATGTAGAAGTTGTGTATTTAATTGTTATTATTTTATAGCTTGTGCAAGGAAGACGCTGAAGAGAGGCGAAGAATAGTAGAAGGAGCCGATGCCTTGTTAAATCTGGCTGGTATAGCTACGCGACGCTCGTTGAAACGTTCATCAAGTTTCGAATGCATCGATGCCAAAAGAGAATGTACAGATACTCTACGACAGATATACCTGAAGAAACAGACGGATAATAATAATGAACCGACAGCCATAGAACACCATAAGGACAAATTTAGATAAAACTTACTTTTTTTTTCCATTAGCATTTTGTTAACTAGTTCATATAATAATATGACACATTAAATACATAGTTTATTCTTAAATTTATAGAAAAAAGAATAATTATATTGCTACTGAATGAGCGGGTTAGTTATAATATGTATAACAGTGGTATTGTTGAAAAGGTGATAGTTTTTCTCTCGATTACTATATGTCATTTGTTACATTGAACATTATTGTCTTCTCGCTCTTAGGAAGCACTGTGATAGTATTTTTAAAAAAAAAAAACAAACTTTATTATTCATGGAATGCGCGATATTATTAGTTTCGACAAATGCCTGACTGTACACCAAATTTGTTAATAACTTTTTTTTTTTTGTTATGTTTATTCATATAATGGTTAAATATTAAATAATATATAAAACGTATATATATATTTATAAATATATTTTTAGAATTTTTTTTTTTGTTACACATTTTGTTGTGAAATTTAAAAATCTATACAATTTTATATGCTTCCACGAAGTGCTCCCTGTTTGTGTTCAAAGACAATCAGAAATGTTTTTTTAACATATTAGAAATTAAAAAATAAAATAGTTTAAAAAACAAAGTTGATTAGAAGTATTTATTATACATTGAAAATTTTTTGTTGAGTAAAAGATGTTCTTTCAATGTATTAAAATTACTTAACATTTTTATGTTTGAATAAAATTGATAGTATACTAGTAACATAGTTAAAAATAAAATTTGTCATTTATTTTTAATTTTTTTGATTGATGTTGATGAACACACTAGTAGAGGATACTCAAAAGAAGTATTTTCTACGGAGTTATAACCATTATAAAAAATACATCATGTAGACGCAATATTTCATAAATTACATTTGTTGGTTGACAATTACAAGAGCAATAAAAACAATATTATAAAAAAGAAAAACATTGATTTGTTTGTATTTTTATTTATAATTAAATTTTATACAACTATAACAATCATATATCAATATCATTGTCAAAAACTAACAAACAATATATAGCTTCTTACTATTTATTTTTAAACCCTTCATAAGAATCATAAAATAATTTGCGACACATGAATTTAGCTTTCAACTTGGAACATAGTAAAAATATACCTGGAACGAAAAAAGAAAATTTATACTTTTAACAATTTTTTATACTATTTACTTCTACATTACCTGATAATTTTCTATGAATACTATATATTTCTTCAGGTGGTGGTGTTAACCGCTGGTAAATTATTACTGGCAATAATGTCTGAATACGTTTAGTGGAATCTTGAGATCCAAAATCGTACTCTCCTTCTTTTTGAAACACTTCACCCATTATCATAACCATTTCAACATGAGCTTCTTCCATAGCTTTAGATTCATACCCAGTCAAAAAACCCATTGTTTTAGATAGTTCTAAAACCATAGCCCGATCATTGTCTGCTGCTGCTTTGATAATATTTAAATAATTGTTTAAAAATGTTTTTTCAAACGATCGAGTTGCACCAAAATCTAATAAGATAAGCTGAAAAACAACAGTCAAAAACTTATTCTCATAACAAAATAAACTCTTACAATCAATTTTTTGTATTAAAATATACTAAATAAATAATGACAAAACGTGAATATTAGTCCAATTTTCATAAGAAAGCGAGGAACTTGCACAGTATTAGACTAACCCAGTGAACTTAAAAGAAGAAAATTACTTTTATACAAGTTAAAATTTTAATAACAGATAAGTATTAATATTATAATTAGCCTATATATATATATAGTTTTAAAGCATTTCAAAATGTATAAACTATAACTTTAACATAATATTTTTTTAAAAAGCTGATTAAGTTAAAAGTTAAACGAAGTAGTAAATTGATAGAATTTTTAAGTGACGAAATCAATTGTGCATGTGTGATTTTTGAGCAAATGTCTTTTCTATTATGTGTATAAATACTTACTTGTTTAGTTTCTTCATTGTAAAAAAAGTTAGCCCAATTTGGGTCTGTTTGCATGTATGAAAACTCAAAAAGCTCTTTAAGACACAATTGCAAAACTAAAAAGCAAACGTTGTTCCTCGTAGCTTGATCCATATTTTCACATTTATCCAAAGGTATGCCTTCTATCAGCTCTGAAGTGAATACACGCTTTGTACATATTCCATCTTAAAAAAAAAAAAAAATTTTAAATCTTAAGAGCAGTATTAGCTTTCTGGAGTCTGGTATTTATAACAAGTTGAGTATAATATTAGTTTTAAAGTGTCTTAGACCAATGCATTTTTTGCTCAAAAATATGCTTCACAGGGGAAAAAATTGATCATATTATATAACTGTAAATACCAGTGTTAAGATGATACGCAACTTAACTATAACATTTTCCATATTTTATTCTTAAACAGTCTATGGGTAAGTAATGCCAAGTAATGAGCAAATTGTTTGATAACTGATGGCAGATTTATAGTTATAATTTTTGATTATAAATAAATGTTTTAAACATTCTACATTTATATAATAAAATGAGTTTATAACATTTAAATTGTTAATATCTTTAAAATAGCGTTTGGTAGTCTTTTTTTTATATTAACATACGTAACTTACCGATAACTCGTGGAACGTAATAATCTTGATATGGTTCTAATAACTGCCTGAATTTTTTGGTGCATTTCGCTTCACGTTCATAGTCTACTTCATTAGCTAATTCCTTATTGGCTACTTTAACTATGTTGTCGATAAACATGCCTTCCGGAAACATATTCCATACTTTCATTACACCCACTAAGTTATCTATATCGCTCTTAATGCTCTCGGCAACGCCAGGATACTGGACTTTAACTGCAACTTTGGTCCCATCTTTGATTGCGGCTTCGTGTACCTGACCGATAGAAGCAGCTGCAAAGGGCTTTACATTGAATGATTCAAAATGGTTTCTCCAATTCGTTCCAAATTCTGCGACCATCACTTTCTAAACAAAAGAAGTATTTTATTATAAAACTATTATACCGTATATGTACACATTTGTCAAATACATTACTTCCAATTGCCAAGTAGGCATAAAATCAGCTGATTGGCGTACTCTTTCAAATGCTTTTTGTAGCTGTGGGCTTAACAAATTGTTATCTTGGATACTAAGAATTTGGCCAATTTTCAAAGCAGCACCTACAATATTACTAGATTAAAAAATGGATACAAAAAAAAAATATAGCACAAGCACACTGACCTCGGACTTCACATAAAGTATTGGCAATACGTTCAGCATTTTCTGGTGAAATAAATGCACTTTCTAAGTATCCGCCTTCTTGCTTTTTAGTTGAATTGCTTACTCCTAAAGTTCGTTTTGTCATTTCCGTAACAGCTCCAATACCAATACCAGCAGCTAATCCACCAAATGACAACATACGACCAATATGACTAGATGGGACTGTTTTTTGTTTTGCTGATCCACTTAGCTAGTTTTTAATAAAGTCAATTTAATAAGAATATAGACAGGTTATAAATAATTTAGTTATATATATATATATATATAATATATACCTGTTGTTTAGGTTTTGAGTTTTTACTAACAGTTGGTTTCTTTTTTTTCTCCGAATCATTAGATATGTTACTATAGTTTTTATAAAAATATTTACAATCATTATCATAATTGATGTTATTAAAAATACTATTTCCACAGCTATTTCCAAATAAATATGGTTTTTTTAGTACATCACTTGGTACTTTAAAAGGACCATTTAACGCTTGTCCTTCATTTAAATATTGTTCTATTGGTACAATATCAGCTGGATCATCAGGTAGAGATTCTTCTTGACGGTTATTTTGACGAACTAAATAAAAAAAAATTGAAAAAGTTTTAATAGTAAAACAAGCTAGACAGAGGTAAACAGAAGTAGGTGGGTTTGATGAATATAGATATGAAGTTATATGGAGTAAATAAGGAATAGCAATGAAGAGAGATTTGTAAAGAGAGAGAATTTGGCTAGTTAACTTCATTTGTAAGGGATAAGACAAAAACACAGTTTAAAAAAACTGAAAGGAATTCATACTTGGAAACTTTTTACTGTAGCATACATTTATAACTTATTAGTAATTCCAGTCAGAAAACTTACGTGTCAATACAATTACATTTCGTACCCCTTCAAACACCATTGCAGTTCTTTCAGAAACTTCTTTTGCGATATACTCAGGCTAAAAAATGTGTTAATATTGATAACTTAGATATATAATACTTATGATTATTTTAGTTTATATTTTATTTTAAAATAGATAAAAGTATAAATAAAAAATAAAAAAAACAATAAGACACTTGTTCTTATGTAATTACAGTCAGTTTTGCTGCCCCGATTCCATCAGAAAATTGAATTGTGGCATCTTTGAAAGCAGTTGCTAAACTACATGTTTTTATTCTTGTATTACATTTTTTTTCATTTGATTTAATTATTTCTTCCAATACCATCTGCATACCCCTGAACACTCTAGACATATCAGTACCCTTGGAAACCGACATTATGATTTAAGATGTACCTTTTTTAAAGACGCTGAAAATAAAACTAAATGTAAAAAAATGCAAATAAGTATGCAAAACAAAACTAATTGAAATGCAACAAAATTAACTTACATTAAAATTCATTTATTTTCCACTCAAACAGCCATATTTACAAACACTAGTCGAAAATGGTAACCAATGTTTAACATGGTAATTAATAATTCTGCAAATTACCCTTAACTTTCTTCAAAGTAAATTGTTTCAGAATGTTATGAAATAAGCGATATTGATGTGACCATGAAATCTACCGCTGATAAGAACTATGTACATTACCTATCGTTAAATTTATCAAAAGGGAAAGGAAAATGTTGAAAAAAATATGGCCTTAGAGACTGCTCATTATGGTGCGGTAAAATTGTCTCTTGTGTTTTATCATTGTAAAACAGATTTATATTTAGCTTTATTTCATAACAAATTTCTGAGAAAACACAAAATGGGTGAAATTAAACACATACTTTGGACTTAGGTCACTAGATGGCTACAAGTTACAACCGCACTTTCATAATAAAAGATTTTTGGTGATAACCGTTATCAAATTAGGAATTACATGATAATGTCCAGAAGAAAGTTATCAAAATACGACACGTCATATCAGACGTTAAGTCTACAAAAAAAAACTAGGTATACCAATAGCAACAACCTTCTCCCATCTCCGGTTTTAAATTAAGTCTATTGTGAAAATGCTTAGTTGATATTAATAATTATAATTATACTGTGATTATTATAGTTTATCTTGTTAGTAAGCAAGTTGCTGGGTGTAGTTCTTTTACCAAACCAAAATAAATTATAAAATCTAAGCAACCATGAGTATGAAACATTTAACAAATAAAACTCCTAGGATTCTTCAAGAACTCATGCTGCAACAAGACAATTCAGTAACTACAATTATTTTAAGCTTAATTATGAGTTTTTTTTAAAAAATTATGTGTATTTTAAAGAAATGTTTCGAGTGCGGCACACATAATCCACAATGGGCTTCGGTTTCATATGGTATATGGATATGTCTTATGTGCTCGGGTAAACACAGAGGTCTTGGTGTGCATTTGTCGTTTGTTAGATCTATCACTATGGATGCCTGGAAAGATTTAGAACTAGAAAAAATGAAAGTGAGTAAAGTTTTTTTCCCTATTATTAAAAATTGAACATGATAAAATTTTACAAAAACTATCTGTCTTGATTGTCATGGAATAATTATTCAAACTATACTCTGTGTTAATAGGTAGGAGGTAATAAAAACGCCAAAGAGTTCTTTGAATCTCAACCAGATTGGAATAACTCAATGTCAATTGAACAAAAGTATAACACTAAAGCTGCAGCATTGTACCGTGATAAAGTAAAAATCAGTCAATTAGTACTCAATTATATTGAACGTATGATATATTTACAATAATCTTTTTTAGATTATGAGTTTAGCAAAAGGTCAGCAATGGAGTCCAACCACATCATCGGCAAAAGATTACTCAGTGGATCATACAAAAACGTAATATTTGTTTGTTGCTATATAATTTAAAACACAATAATGTAATTGTTTTATTATTTTTTAGGAAAGCTAGCCATGCACAGTCTTATAGTTTTAATGAACCTTCTACTAACTATAGTGAAGTCAGTTCAGGGTATCAAAATGATGCTATTCTAAGTCAAAGTGTTAAAGATGAAAAAGAAGCATATTTTGCTAAAAAACAGTATGAAAATGCTACACGACCAGAGTAAGCGATTTCTAATAAGCTTTTGCTAATGCTCAATTAGTATACTTTACCTATATTTTATAATTTAAACCATCAGCCATATACCACCAAACCAAGGGGGACGGTATGCTGGATTTGGAAACACTGTAGAGCCGCCACCTAGGAGTCAGTCTCAAGATCTTCTCGATTCTGCTGTATCATCGTTTTCTAGTGTAAATTGCATATTAAATTAAATAAAATTAGTTTTTTATTTATATTGTATTCTAAAATTGTAGGGCTGGTCACTATTTTCTTCGTCTGCTTCCAAAATTGCATCTCGTGCAACCCAGGGTGCCATAAAAATTGGTGGAATAGCTACTCAAAAGGTAACTGACATAACCACCGACCTAGGTTCTAAGGTAAGTCGCATGTGAATGATAATTTTATTTCACTTTTATGCTTTTAAAATTTATAATTTATTAAACCTATTTTTGTTAAAAATATTTAATTATATTAGGTATTCACAAGTTGTTTTTATTATGATTGATGAATTTGTATATACATTTGTACATATTTAAAACCAGTTTAGTATAAATCTATATGTATATTACTTATTATATTTATGGGTATTGTAAAAGTATGTGTGTTATTTGTTCAGAAATCTAAAGGCTAAATTACAATCAACAAGCTATTACTTGTATAAATTATAAAAACAAAAAAAATATATATGTATGTAATAACTGGAAAAAGCTTAAGCTTAACCATCTCTCCGCTATCTGGGGTGGGTTGTTGTGCCATAAAACAAAGTATTTTTATGAGCCTAGATCAATTAAGTAAAATAAAAAAACAGGTCAGATATATAACTTAGATCCTTCTAAATAAGCTATCATTTCAATTATGGTTCATAAATTAGCCTTTTGTTATTATTTATTATTTTACAGTTTAATTATTTATTGTCTTTTAGTATATTGTGCTTATGATTTATGTTGGCTTATTTATTTTCATACTATTAGATTAAAGAGGGTACTTTAATTGACGGCGTATCTACTCAATTTTCTACAATGACTTCAAAGGTAAATTTTTATGTGACTACATTAACAATATTAAAAATTTGTAATTAACAAAAGTCAGTGACAGACTATAAGAATAATCTCCCTGGGGTGAATCGCCCTGGGAAAATTTCACAGGTCAAAAGTACCTCTTGTCGGCATAATCTGCCACTGACAAAAATGTAATCGTGTAAACAATAGCTAAATAAGTTCAGAAATGTTAATGTCATAGATTACTGATTTGGGGCGAAAAGATTGGCAAGATATTGGTGGCAGTAATGTTCCTGCGCTTGAAAAATCTCATTCAACTGATTTTGTTGTGCCATCTACTGAGAACTCTTCACTCCTAATCGATGGTCCGTCAGGAAACACCAAGTACTGTCTTATAGATAGAAATAACTACCTTATGATTATGCAATGTTTCTAAGTGTATTTTTTTTGCAGAAACGTTCAAAGAAAAAACAGTTGGACCTCTTGGGATGTAAACACAACACAGACAACGACATCAGATCAAACAACCGAAAAATATCAACCTATTCAGGACGACTGGAATAATAAATGGGATAACAACTGGTGAAGTCTGTGTCAAATTTTGACAAACAATAATAATATAACTGTTATACTCCGCGCACTTTAAGAAGATACCTGCCTAGCGGACCCAAACTCCTTAGTCGTCGCCTAGGTCATATCTGTATGCACAGTAGGCAGTGCCTAACTATGACGATGTTGCGGGGTAGAAACAGGTCGTCGCCGACTCAACGAGGTATCTTCTTAAAGTGCGCGGAGTATAAACAATAATATTGTGTAAATAAAAAAATGTTTAATCAAATTATTGCCCTATTACATTTTAAAACAATTGTCAAAGCCTATGTTTATCCATGTTTTTTTTTTTACTCAATTATTTGTTAAAATCATGCCAACCATACTTTCATTATATATAAAGCTCCCAATAAATTGTTTATGCTGACTTTTTCCATAATATAATAAATAAATTATAAATTAAATTGACCATTAGTACCAGTTTTAGGAATATTTAACTGTACTTCTAAACTATATTTACAATAAATTAACAAATAAGGAGGGGAACTGCAAGTTACTTAAATTAAAATTTTATATATTCATAATGCTTTATGTTGAATGCAGAATTATCAACTTGAATTTGTTATTTATCTCCTATGTGTTATATTTTAGGACAAACATTGGTCTATAATGTTCTAATTTATAATTTACATAAAGTAAAAATTTTAATTAAAAAAAATATGTTCCTAAAATAAACAATAACTTTCCTCTCAGATTTTAAATAGTAATTTTTTAATTCCCTACCATTCTCTTAATGTTATTCAAATATTATATAATTTCAATTATTTTATAATGAAAACATTAACTATTATTTTTATAATAATCTTTTTATTATAATAAATAGAAGAATTAAAATTGAAAAGTCATTCCATTGTGCATATTTATTCGTTAGTTTTTCTAGTTGACGTAACTCATTATATTTTAAATATATGTTATTGTAGTAGACTATGAAATCATTTATGAAAAAATAAATCTTATACCGTGTTTTACTTTTATTTCAAATTTGAGTGTGATAGTATATCGTCGCTTAAGAACCATCTTGGCCTATCTTAAAAAATTTGAAATTTTATTTTATAAACCAATGGCTTTGAATTATCAAGATGCTTGAGACTGTGTTATTAGTTTCAATGTTTGACACCAAGATGTTCGCTGTGAACATTTAAAATATCAAGGCCACATGTTTTTTGTTTCTCTTGAAAAGTTGGAAAAACTGAGATGAGACATGATGGTTCTTAGGTGGCGATATATCACTATGTTTTTAATAATGTAGCAAATGTTACATGACTACTTGTTAAAAAAAAGATTATAATATATATATATATATATATTATATAATTAATAATAAAACTGATTATACTGATATTGAATTATGTTAACCTTTTTTTTAATTTTCGCCTATTTGCAACTGTTCAGTATTTGCAGTGGTGCAATTTGCTTCAAGTTGTTGAGGGGGACTGAAAAATAATTAGTAGAGTAAAATTAGCATATTTTGAGGTTTTTTAGATGACTCCGAGGTAAAGGAGGCTTACCCTTAGCCCCCCGCCAAATGCATCACTGCCTGTTTAACATATAATCGATCTGGGTGATCCACCCTTAGTATATATCAGCGTGGATCTAAAACCTAAAATAATATGGGTGTTATAATTAGTAATTGCAGAACAAGCTTTTTAACTAATAATGTAAGACTACGTGTAGAAGTAAAAAATTACAAATTGAAAGTATCGATCCAAATATACACACATAGGCTCATAGGCGACTGCGCTTTAAGCGAACTTAAAAAATTGAGTTTTCAAGCCTCAAGGCCATATTCTCGAGTATTGACTAGTAGCATTTACTGTAAAATTATCTTCTGGTGGAGGTAATGTCAGTCAGTGGCTCAGCTGACGATAACAATTATCATGACAAAATCAATAGGTATGTCAGCAAATTATGATAACCATGAAATGGCCGCCGATTTTTTCAGGCGGCCGTATATTTCTTACGGGAGAAAACCGGCAACCATGTTGAAAATAATGATAACACAAGCTGCCAGTAGATCTTTTGATATTTTCATGTCAATTTTTGAGTACATCACTACAATGTTATCATTATTGATAATTCAACAAAATATTATCTTTTTGACTTAAACGTTCCGAGTTTCAGAATTCAGACTTTAGTCACTATTTATTAATTTGACTTCTTTCTTTACGTGTCCTAGACGCGTATTAATTAAAGTCTTAAGTTTTAAAAAAATTCATTGTTATGTCTAAAGATAAGTGTCAAGAAGGAAGGGAATGTATGGAGAAAGCAAGCAAATAGTAAATCACCGTTTTATACGATTTTGGTCTAAGAAGCTGTGAAATAAACTCTATTTATTTGTTTTAGTCTCAAGACATCTTTATTGAAATGGGTACCTGATTATGACAGTGCAGCTGATGAATATTCAAAAGCGGGTTTGTGTTGATTGTATTTGTTATTTTATGTATTGTGTGGCTAAGAAAGGTTGTAAAACTAAAACTTTTTATGACTAAAAACGTTTGATTAAGTAATAAATTAAACAGTTTTAGATTTTTTTTAACCTTGTAGGTTCTGTACTTAATAAATTATATTGAATATTAAAAACCAATTAACGACGCCCGTTATAAATATTAGTATGTTTCATTATCCTAATAATAACAATATATTAAATTTGCTACTAAAACTAGATTATTTTAATATTTATTACAAAAAATAGTATGTTTCCTTTCTCAAAAAGTTCTATATAAGAGTGTGTTACAATGAAAACTAATAAGTTTCATTCTTTTCCACGAATAGTATTAGATTAGTTTCAATAAGAGTTTTGATATACAAAACATACTACCTACTTATTGTCGCGACTAAAACAAACATTCTGGTTTTCAATAGAAAAATTTCTGAGATTGCTATATCATTTGAATTGTATTATACCAAGAACATTATCATCTTTAATCGTTAATTAAAGCGGAATACGAAATAATAGTTGGGTCATATTTTTTAGTTTTTGTTGGTCAGTCTTTGGTGAGCTGTGAGCGCTAATAATAGATATACAATTGCTGTACTAGGTATTTTATGTAGGAATTAAAGTAAGTTGTTTGCGTTTCATAGCTGTTTGCTTCAGAGTTGGAAAATCTTATAAAGAAAGTAAAGAGTGTCTGTTGAAAGCATCTCAAAACTACATAAAAAATGGATCACTTTTTCATGCTGCTAAGTAAATAACAAAGTTTTAAATATTATTGATCAATCAAAACATAAATATTTAAGTTTAAACATTGAATTAATATGTATTTTTTATATTTAAAATCAGATCTTTGGATCAGGCATTGATTTTATCAAAAGAGATTGGAGATTTAAGTGATGTTCCCGATATGGCATTGAAAGCAAGTTATTACTATCAACAACACGGATCATCTGGAAGTGCATCTTTGTTGTTGAACAAAGCTGCCGATATGGTAAAACAGACCAATCCAGAAGCTGCCGTTAAGTTGTATAAAGAAGCAGCTATTGTAGCTTCGGTATGTCATAATTTAAAAAAAACATAATACAATATAAAAACATAGTACAAACGTAATATAATGTGATAGATTGTGCAATTTTCTTATAATATTTTTTAACTGTTAAAATTTGATATTAAGAACGAAGATTCAACCGGTCAAGCAATGGAATATACACATAAAGCAGCTCGATTATTAGTCAAGATGGATAAGTAATAATAGTTAACAGCTGTATTAATAAAGAGTTTTATTAGTTAAAAAAAAAACTATTTTAAGATATGAAGAAGCTGAAGAGGAATTAAGACGTCAGTTTGGTTATATGCATGAGGGTGGGTCTCCGACAAGTATGGGTAGAGTAACTGTGGAACTGTTTTTATTGCAATTGGCCAAAGATGATCTAGTGGCTGCTAGAAAAGTGCTTAATCAGTATGGATCAGAATATTGTGAACAACCCGAGGTAAAATAAAATTTAAGTAATAACTGATAAACCTAAACTATATTATTTACAGTATGTTTTTTTGTTTGTTATCAGATCTGTTTACTTGATAATATATTAACTGCGTACTCAGAACGGGATGCTAAAAATATCAATACTACATTGGGCAATGCATTTATAAAACACATGGATGTTGAGTTTGGTATTCTTGCGAAGAAATTAGCCAGTAAATGGACTGAGGAACCCGTAAATGTAAGTTTGTTTCACTATTGTTTTATATGGTACCATTAAAGGTCATGGTGCCGAAAAATGCAAAGTTGAAAACTATGAGCAAACTTAAATCTCAATAATATAATTTTATTTTTACCTGCCCCTTTAAAGAGTTACATTGATTATATTTTTATTATTATTAATTTATAATCAATGCTAGAATTCATCACAATATGTTATAAATAATTTCAAAAAATGAAATATATATTTAAAAGTAACATATCTACTATGAAAATAATTACTACAAAGTTAATTGGGAATTTACTACTTTGATGTAATTTTTAATGATTTGTTTTGCACCGTTTTGTAGAGCATTGCGGCTCAAAATCCGCATGGAGCAGATGAAGATACAGAAAAACCACAAACGGATTTTGGTGGAGGACTTTGCTAAAAATTGTTTTGAGTAACTTAAATAATCAAATCTAAATTATTAATAAATTGCTAGCTGCACAATAGGAACTACTTTTTCTAATTTTTCAGGAGGGTTGAAAACTAAATCAATAACATGACCCATTTCTGTAGTAAACACTAATTTCTGAGTATTAGTTTTAGTTGTTTGGATCATCAGATTTGTCCCTTTCTATAGTAAACAATGCATTTGCGTTTGCTTAGAACAGCAAGATGATCACAGCAAATTGATAATAGGGAACTAGTCTCCTTATTGTAGTTAGCAACTTAAATATTCTACAATCTTTTGTAAATTTTTTCTTTTAGTAATCGAGTAATAACAAAAATTATTGTATAATAATTATAAATACTTTCCATAGTTTTATTTACTATCATTTTTGTGACGAGATGTTTTCTGTTATGTCAACAGTATTGGAATAATCAAAAATAAAATTGGTTTTTGATAAATGTATTAAATGTCACATGTTGATAATTATAATTTTTTGTTACAAGATTAAAATTTTACTGTATTACAATTTATATTTAAATATATGTATTCCACGCCTATGTATTCCGGCCTTTTTAGTGTTGAACTTTAATATTATTCAATCTGGGTAATTTATATTTAATTTAATTGAGTTTTTAGGTATTAATCCAAAATATTGTGTTTTCCCCAAAATATAATTTTTGTTTACAGATTCATTTTGAGTTATAATCATTGTTCTAAACATTTATTTTCTTAACGCTTTAGTTAAATTTCTTTACTATTTGATAAAATTGAAAGCTATTCACGTAAAATAACGATCAGTAAAGTAACATGAATAAATCTTTTAATCTTAAATAAGTTATTGCATGTCTGTCTTACTGATAATAAATATTTTATATTCTTGCTTTTCCACTGTATACTGTTCAGCGTTTTTTTGTGTTATACCATTTTATATTTGGTATAGTTGTGTGTATTATATTTTATTAAATTATTATTTAAATTTCTAGTCATACATATATATTTGTTAATGATTGTTAACTTATAACTTTTACTTGTTAATTGTATAAATATAAATGATTCTATTTTAACTTTAAGATTAACTCTTAGTTATAGTATAGATTTAATACAACATAATTATTGGCATTGGATAATTTCTACATTATATTAATTTTTATAAATTCAACTTTTGTGAAATACAACAATTTAGTTATACTAGAATTGTTTCATTATATTTTTTATCTATTATATATTTAATCTATGACTTTTTATTATTATTATAAATATTATGTAATCATACAAAAATTAATAAAAAAGGCATGTGCAATTAATAATAAATAGTTTTATATTAAATTTCTTTTAAGTCAAAAAGTGGACGGAAGTTTTTCAACTAAAATAGTACAAGGTGAACAAAAATAATTATTTGAAATATAAAATAGTGATAGTATCTGAAATTCCTATTCTTGGTCAATAAATTAAAAATTTACAATGAGGTCTTTTTTACATAATGGACAATATTTTAACGATTCAACATCCTTAGTAGTTGCAATGCGTTTACATTGTCGACAACACCAAGCCGATTTGATATCAGTCAATAGTTGACCTGTGACAATACTAGCCTCCGGTCTGGTTTTACATTTTGGACATTTTAAGCTCCTGCAAACATTATATTATATAGCTCTTGTAATGTGAGCATTTCTTTAGTATATAACCCATTAGCGTTAAAAATGAATACTCACCAAGCTGAGAATTCATTTGAACAGCTGTAACATCGAATGGCTGGACAAGGCGAATCTTCAGGCGCGTGTTTGCTGAATATGTTTAACGACAAAGCGTTATATTTATTTTTCTGAAACAAAGATATTAATAGTAAAGATGTTAACAATACATTCATTTAGCGATTAGCTTAACAGTTAATACAGTGTCTATAGTTTCTAGTTTCATCATTGCTCTGGATGTGATATTGAATGAACTACATCCTATCGCTGCTAGTGCAATGATTGAATATATTTGTTCGATGTTTAAGAAATCTTCATAGTTACGAAGCGTCAAAGATGTCCACAACGCCAATTTGAAATTTCCTAAACAAATTCAAATTGTTATATATATTATAAGAAAAAGATTAATTTGTAAATTTTCATACCATTATAAATTTGTTGTTGAGCAAGTATTAAAAAGTGCAATGCTTCAACTATACGCCAACTGTTTTCGATAATTTCGGCACGTGTCTTAAAAGGAGTACCTTCTAAATTGTTAATTTCTACGTCTTCAACTAAAAAATATGTATCATTTTAATTTAAGTTAAAGACAAATACTCTATTTCTTGTTTCTCAGCTATACCTGTTAAAATGGTTTCCAAATTTTTTTCTTTATACTCTTCAACTAATAATGCACCTACTGTGGCTAACTGTTTGATTACGTTCGGTTGGATATCATTTTTTAATTCATGATAAACAATCTAAAAAAAAAAAATTAATAAAAAAAAACCAACTTGATGATTACTGATTAGTTATGTTTATATATTACAGCAAAAACTAATTGTGCTGCTTCCATGTACCGTTCGCCATTGTTATATTTAGAAACTGTAGTTAAGATATTTTTAATATTGTTTAGCCATCGTTCTAGATCTGGATTACTTAAACTTTTTATGATCTCTTTTAGATTGCTAATATCTACGCTGCTTCCTTTCAAAAGTTGTTTGGACAGCTAAAATTTTGCAAATAAATAACATTTTTTTTTTTAAAGTTTCATTTTGATGTTTGATATGTTAACACTTCATACGTTTTGGTCTAAAGACATGTCTTCAACCATTCCACTGTTTTGAAAAAAAGTGGATATTGTATCCAATAATGTGTGATTGGTTGGTAACGTTTTAGCAAGTGCTGTTAACGAGTCATAATCTTTTAGCATTATATAGCATTCTACTAATTTTTCCATGTTTTCTACTTTTTTATAATATTCAACAGCTAAATCCCTGCAAGACACATAACATACATCATAATCCAAATGTATACAAAATAGCGCAATATCACATTTAGACCGTTTACCATTGTTGGCTGTCAAAAAAATGATCTCCGATACCTTGCCAAGCGTGGTCTAATGTAGTACTGGGAACGCCCGACAATAAGGAACTAGATTTTAATAATTCGGCAACTTTGAACCAATTACCTAGTTTTTGATGTAATAATACAGCTAAATCTCTAAAAAAAAAATCATTCAAATACAAAAGTCAGATAATATTGTGTTAGACTTTCAAGATTAATTTTAATAATTACTTTCGATCGGCTTTAACGTATAGTGTTTCTGCTTTATCAAAATCCCCGAAATATATGGCGACTTCGGCTTGCTGCAAAAGTACTTCCTGTATGTTGGCCAATTGTTTTATCGTTTTGATACCATAATAATCTTGGCATTGTACGAATGCTGTTTCACTTGTAGCCAGATCTAAAGTTTGTAAAGCTGCTTCGGCTAATAATCGCCTAAAATGTATTTCAAAATTATTGTCAAGTTTAATTGTTTTGAATTTGGTATGTCTCACCATAGCCTTGGATGTGGATTATCGTTAATAAACTTCATGGCTTCGGTGATGCTAACTTTTTCCAGCAGTTGCCTAGTATCTCTTAACGACTTTGTTTCCAACGTAATGACATAATCCAACGATGGATTCTCTGGAGACTGAATGATTTCATCAAGCATGACCGCTTGTATTTCTAAATCCTTGAGGGCAATTAAACAATTGTTGAAAATACCATTTAAATATAAATTTTACTAACTATAAATGTAAAAAAAAGCATACTTTAAAAGAGGCGATGTACGCTGAAGTACTAATCGGTTCTTCTGGATTCAACCCTCTTATTACATACATCCTTGTTTTCTCCATAATAGCTAACAGTTCTGGGTCGTCCGAAGCCCACTTCATTGTCCACACATCCCTCCTTTGGAAATCAGATGGTGCTTCCGTATTGGTCAGTTCACTTTTTTCGTTTATAGAAATGATAGATAATACTCCAGTAGAATCGATAATAGCCAATCGTCTACAGAAAACAAAAACTGCATAATATTATCTTTATTTAAAAATTATATTTAAGAGATGTTTACTTGGAGTTGGAATTTAAAGCTAGTTTGAAAGGTCTTGAAGGCAAAATTCTTCTTTCCACTAGGCCCACTTGTGGTAATGAGTATATTTGCAAAGCTCCGCTTTCTCTTCCAATCAGTAAAATGCCATCATTTGAAGTTATACACGTTATAAGATCCTTAGTCCCCTGAACATAATTATTTTGTTGTAAAAAAATCTGATTGAAATAGAAAAAAGAAGTAAACAACGTACTAGTTGAAAAGCTGTGCTTTTAAATTCTGACGATTCTTGGGTGAGTTCATCAACTCCAGAAGGAGTGTCGTCTATATGAAACATTTTCACTTTTTTGCGTTTAACTAAGAAGTACATATTTCAGATAAGACGTTTGGCGGTTTTTTTACAAAAGTCTTATAATACAGAATTCTATTTAAAAATCTCCACAAATATTTGTTTTGTATTTGTATATAATTTAGTTTTAAAAATCATAAAACGGATTAAAATTTTCCCTGTTAAGGAAGGAACATGTTTTACTAAACTTAAAAGAACGTGAATTTGCATAATTATTTTTTATTGATATCAGAGTGTTAGTTTCATCGTTCTAATGACTCTTGTAGTAGTAGTTATTAGTTATTCAGTATGCAAAAAACATTAACAATTACTGAAAATTCAGTATTTTTTTAATGTGATTTTGCATAAAAAGTAAGAAAATATTACTATTAAAAATAGAGCAAAATTATTGTATCATATTATATCATAAATTATGAGTATGCATACGGTTTACTATTGACGAAGAATGTGATTTTGGAACAGTGTATTGCCATGTCATAAAGCTCGTGTGTGATGCGACAATTACATAAGTTCCGTTCATCGATACCCATATTGGTTTGAAATTTATGTGTTTAGCTATTAAAAATTATATAATATACAAACATTACATTTTTTTTTTTTTTAAATTGTTCAAACTTTCTTACAATCGACTGTAGTGTTTATGTTATTGCAAATGATCAAACTGAAAGGTCTAGACTCGTCATTTTTGTTTTGTATAGCAAGCACACAGTGGTCTTTATAAGCATCCATGGCCAACAGACAATTAACTTTTGTATGATAGAACTGAAATCCCATATGCAGTGTTAAAAATTGTTTTAAAAAAAATAAGTAGTTAAAATTAATTGTTACTTCGTTTTTTTTGATATTCCAAAACGTAACGTCCGTAATAGATTCTTCATAGTTTTGGTATGCGTACACAATGGTGTCGGCAAAGTAACACCAAGGGTAATCGTATCGTACGTTGGCAAAATAGACAAAACTATCAATGGCTAATGTGATGCGCAACGATGTGCTTTCCCAACAACAAGCGGCTACCATGTATCCGGGAACTTTAAGTGTTCTCAAATGCTACAACATATTTTGAATGCCATTTTAAAATAATACAACTAGAAATTTGATTTTATAAATATCATATTATATTAGTCACCTCTCCAAACGGTGAACGAAGTTGAAGAACATTTGATTCTTTTACTTCTCCGTCAACCATTAACGAACCGACTACTGCTAAAACTGTACCGTTATGATTCCATTTAACAGACACAATGGACATGTCACACTCAAAAACTACAGGATCTAAGTAGATTACGAATTTGCTTTAGTAAAGACCAAATTTAAAATGTTTATAGGTCGTAAATTACTTGTATCATATTGATTTTTCATTATCTGCACGTGTCCCGATTTATAGGCAATGGCCAACTGTGGGCAATCATCGAGTTCTCTGTTGAGCCAATGACACGCCGAAATTGGTACACTATTAAGTGAAACAGGCAAACAGGTAATTCCCAATTTAGACTAGATAGATAAAATAGTGTTATTGTATGAATTAATAAATAAAACAAAAATGACAAAACAGTTTACCACAAAATTTCCATCGCTGTCATACAAATGTACTTCTCCAGTTTTAATGGTAAAAAGTAAGAATTTGGAATTTGGAGACCATTGAACTCCAGTTAACGTTAACTTTTTCAATTCTTTGCCCCATATTCGGCTACCCTCAACCGAGCCAACGATGACCGCTCCTTTAAAATAAAATCTTATCAAGTACAGGACTCCGACTTACATTTTAATACATAATAAAAAGTTAACATTTATATACTATAAGCTCACCGTCTTCATAAACTATACAGATTTTTTCCCCATCACTGTTCCAGGCCATACCTTTTACAATGGATTTATTACGATTGTTAATCATTTCCTCTTGCCATGTCCCCTTGAAAATATTTTCAACAACGAGGATCGTTAAAATAGTTATATTAGTTATATAATTTTAAATCAGTCAATTTACTTTGTACATTGTCCAAACAATAATTAATCCATGTTCATCGCTTGACGTTAATTTATTGTATTTTTCATTCCATACAATAGCAACTACATTACCAGAATGGCCCTCAAGAGTTTTATTCAAGGCTAAATTAGCTTGTCCAGTCACCCCTTTGGTTTTACCACTTGTTGGTCCTCCAGAATCGATTTTTAGTACCTTGAGTAGACCATCATCACCGCCAACAGCAATGCAATCCTGACTGGAGTTCCATTCGAGGCAATTGATTTTGATGTTGTTGGGTATAGCTATCTAAACATAAATTGTATTCATAACAGTTTACTTGACAAAAATATAAGTACATTATAATAAAAATAAATATAATGTAGAGCATACTTTTTTGCTTAAATATATGAACATGGCGAACAGTTTGCTAAGATTCAATATGAAGATTAATTTTTTAAGCTATTACTGGTTCAAAAACATCTCTCGATTTCTAAAGTACCTAAACAATTATTTAAGTATAAAATTGATTTGTTTTTGTTTACATTTTAAAATCGCATACAACCGGTCACGGGGTCTAATCACTAGAAAACAAACGATAACTGATAAGGGTTATCTCGCAGTATAGCCAATCTACTTCATCCGTAGAGCGGGCTAGGAAAAAAATTCAAACATAGAATTTGACGTGAGTATTGACAAATAGGATATAGTTTTCGGAGAACTTTATTTTAATTGAAACTCAGAAAATGTTTGGTGTAATTTTCAAAAAAATATTGGTTTTAGTATTGGGGTTCTGTATAAACAACAAAACAAAAGTGGATCATGTTTTTATTATAAAGAAATCCGAGTTTTCACTAACTCACACAATTGTCTCAAATGTTATTTTTTATTATTAATGAACAAATTTTAATGATGTGATGAGTGGTGACGCTGAATTTAATCGCATGCCGATATATATTGTAATAAACACGTGCCTATTGACCATTGTTCTACTAATCACTCGCTTACCAATAGCCTATAGGTTATGTTTTATCATGGTGATTATTTTTGCCCAGTTATTACAGGTATAATTCTTTATCACAAGCAGCAAAATGTTTGATGGGTAACGTTCGATATACGAATATAATACAAACTGCTGAACTAAAATACTTTATCAGTTTCTTTAGCCAATTATTGATCATAACTCATACGTGTATTTTTAATTAGGTACTCAACAAAACGATGTTTAAAAGTTTAAGTTTATAATACCATTTAACTATATTGTTCTTTGTATTGTTTTCTAGCAATAAAAAATTAAGTCTTTGGCACAATGTTTATACTTAATGTGTAACAAAGCTGTTAGGTTATTTAAGTATTCCGTATTTTTTGCTTAACTTTTTAAAATATGCAATTTCTAAAAAAATAACACCTGTGCACTATTACACAGTGGCTTATTTTTGGAAATTTGTTGGGGGTTATCCAAAGTTTGATCACAAGTAGCCTGACAACAATTTATACTTAATCTCCCCGCTTTAGATGTTAGTTTAGCAACAGGAACTCCGCTAGGAATGTGATTTAACTTTATTAGTGTTTTTTAGATAGGAGTCCAGCAAGGAGGATACCACCTCAAAAATATGCCACTGACTTGCTATCAAAATCATCTAACAGCCGATGTTTAAGAAAAAATGTAAAATCTTTGCAAATTAATATGCAAATAATAATAATAAATAATGCAAATAATAATATTAAATGCAAACATTTATAGTTCATATTATTTGTTTTTGAAATTCAAAATAAACAAAATTCAAAACTTAAGAGTCCAATTATTAGTTGTTCTAATGTTTTTAATGTGTGTGTTATAGTCAGTTGTAGAATACAACTGTATTTAGCACTTAATAATTATATTTGATCGAAAAACCAACGGTAGGCACAGCGGGAGGTATTACAGTATATTATACCTGCTATACTAATAGCATATTTTATAGTTTATATATATATCTAATATGCTGGTTTACATACGAATATAAAAAAAAAACTATCTGGTTTGAGTGTTCATTATAGTATAATCTTTTTTGATGATCGCCGTGTAAACCGTGATTTAGGCGCTTGGTTAATTTAAATATTCATATAATATACGAGTATAGGCTGTTAGACCGTCCATAAGTGCACCGTGATTACCTCGTAAAGACAGTTTTTTGATTAGGAGAAATGATTTTTTTGAGACATGTTAAATATTTAAATTCAAAAAATCTGAAAGAGCGTAATTCTGAATTCCGTAGAATATATTATAGGTAGGTAACACGTAGATTTACATGATGTTTTAATGTAGAACATATAAAAAACATAATCATGTTCAGTACTAAACAAATGCACTTTTTTTTTTTATGTTTTGCATATTTCCCTTTTATTATCTTATCTTTCCTGACATTTTCTACAGTGGGTCCGTAAAACAAAAATCGAGTGCAATATAATATATACTTAGAACTTATTTTACTGATAAACTTCCTAAAGCTAAAAATATTTTTTTAAATATGTACCTTGGATTTAAAGAGCCAATGTAATCTTTTGTAAAACGTAGACATCTAAACATTTAAATCAATACAACTTTTATATTGTGAAAAAGAGCCCTCCTACGATAAAAATGTAAAAAGTTACTAAAATTTTTATTAAAAATGTAGGTAACGTAGACGTAGTGTCTGATGGATTGATGAAATGAGGCTGGTCCTTTAATTAATTGTTTAATGTTAAAAAACTAATCATATGTTATACATTGTATAACAATTTTACTAATAAAATAAATAACAAGTTTAACTTTTAAGTAATCATTAAAAAAAAGTTTTTCACTGATCGGGGTTGGCGTTTACACCTTGTACTGTGGTCTGCGAGCCCTCCAAAATATAATGAACTCATATAAACTATAACAAAATAAATAGGTGTGATTAAAAGATTCTTATTTTAGTTCGGTTTGCTCTTTACGCCTAATTTATATTGTATTTCAGTTCGCGGTGAACTATGTAATGATAAGGCGTGAATGGGTGTGGGGAGAGATTTATGAATTACAAGTCAAAATTATACATACCTATAGGCTATATTTATTTTGTTATTATAAAAACCTAAAGGTATTGTTCTCTAACAACTAGATATTGGACATGTCACAAAAATCAGTGTATTATGTGAGATAAATTTTGACATATTTTGCATTGGTGACTAATGTACACAATATACATAAGTAATAACTTAGGATTAGTAAGATCTTAAGTCTTAACTCCTGAACAAACTTTCTGAAATACAAAATCAATAAAATTCTCCTTTTCTGGGAGCGATAAGGGTTTAGGTTATTTTTCTTGTTGTCGTTTATTAGGGTAATATGTTTTGGTCTCCCTCCTTCACACCCATAGCGTTTCGAAAGAGACTAAAGCGATAAGGATTTGGTTAGGGTGGTGCCTAAGGAATATCTTCGGAAAAAGGGTCTAATGATTTTATAAATTGCGGTGTGTTGAATTGAAACTTTTTTTTTTTTAACGATTTTGGGTGCACACTTTTGTCGTCATAGCGGGTGGAATTTTTCCCACTATTGTACTACCTGAGTACAAATATAATACGATTTCTGGCCGACAGACGTTATACGTGGAAAAATCGTTTTAAGCAAAATTTATCATCTTGGGTGTAGGCGATAATGAAAACCTATTACATCGAATCAATATTTCCTCGGCTTCGCATCGAGGCAAAAACAATACCCAGTGATTTTTTGTATCGTGTGCGTGACACTTCCTGCACATAGATTTCAATTACTATGATTACTCGATTGCGTGCCCGTGTACGATAATTTGATTATAGCCATAAACTATAACGCAATCAACGGGTGTAAAAAAACCAAAGTTTGAAAATCGAATATTTACATTTTTAAGTAGACAAATCTAATACCTACACAAAACACACAACACAATAATAACAATTATTACTATCCATTTATTATTGTCATTGTTTTCAACGGCTATGTAACCATCAACAATAGACATGTGTACATAGAATGAAGGGATTTAAATGAGTGGTGGGGGGGGGGGAGGGGGCAACAGCCACCGATTCAGACGTCCGCAGTTGGCCGCCGTCGGATAACGGCCAATATTTCATTATTCCGCCCGCGACCCGGTCCGCCGCTTCGCCACGGATAGGTTGGCCGTCAAGCGGCGGCAGACGCCGGCAGTCCGCACAATGACTCGACCGATGCCGAACGTGTGGTGCGTCCTCGCCGTGACACTCGTGTTGGCCGCCGCGGCCGCCGTCCACGCGTGCCCGTCCAAGTGTCTGTGCTTCAGGACAACCGTGCGATGCATGTTCCTGCAACTGGACCGCATGCCCGACAGAATACCGACATCCACCACCGTACTGTAAGCACTTGAAAATTAGTTTGGGATTTTTTGTTTCTATTTATGACTGAAGTGGATTGACGACAATAGGGGTGCATACAGTACATCCACTTTTTTATTAACTTAACGTATCTTTTAATCCCTTTTCCGTTAAAAAAAAAAAAAAGTGCGCCCACAAAAGCGCCTAAACAATTATACAAAAAGTGCCTCGGGGACGACGTCAAATTGATTGCTCAATTCCTAGGGAGGTTCATGAGCAGAGACTATGGAGTTCTTAGTTAGGCTTAATTCTGTCTATTATTCAAATAGCCCCTAAAAATAGGGTTGGAATAGATGCAGTTTTCCGTAGTGATTTTTTTGTTTTGTAAGGGATTTTAATTAACTGAGAAGGTCATGAAAAAAAAGCTAGCCTCAAAATCCTATGTACTTTGCGTAGCACGATAACTATTTCAGAAATAATGTTTTTTTTTTCAAAAATGTCCAAAGTAACAGAAATTAAATTAACTAGAGGAATCGCCTACTATTTTTTTATTCTATTCGTATTCGGCCACTATAATAGTAGCCGTTTTACTAAATTTTTAAGCCCGGATCAGTTAATCAACATTTCTAACTAGTAATTAGACATATTTTAAATAGTCAAAATACAACAACTCGTTACTTTTTAAAGGGAGTTCAATATTAAATTAATCATAGTAGCCAATTCAGTCAATATTTTTTGGGGGGAGGCATAAAGAATAGTAGATATATATATATATACAAAAGCGGACAGTTCGTGTGCCCCCCTCCCCGCTACGTACTCCTGTCCCTTCTAAGTTTAATTTGCGACATTAATAGTACCTAATTAGGTAATAAACTAATTAACTTTATAAACTTCTTAATAAACTTAGTATGGTTAATGTTAAAAATTAAACAAAATAAGTAAAATAATAAAACTCAATTTTTGATGTGGAAATTTCAAATTGAATTTTATAACATTATTATACAGTTATTATTTTTTTTTCATATAATATATTTACATTGTATAACGAAAAAACATATTTTAAGTTCCATTGCTGGCTTACGAGTTTTATATTATTATTTATGCACTGTCTGGCGCGTATTAATATTTTTACAGCTTTTTTTCAATTTTACTTCTCATAAAAAACTTTATACGCTAAGAAAACTTTATAACATTTTTATGAGAACAATAGTATGTCGATTCGTTGAAAAAATTCCATCTCATTTCCCCAATACGAGCATCCATGATTCACAAAATAGCTTATAAGCTATAAACTTTAATAATGAACTATTCAAGTTTTTACTCACAGTGCAAACGTGCATTTATTAACTATCAATGGGAATATGTGAATTATGACTTATATGTGTTTCTATATAATCCAAATTTTCCAAAATAAAGTAGGTACTGTGAAAAAAGGCTTAAGAAAAAAATCATTATTTTTTATAACTGATCATTTCCACGATCTGGTGACTAAAATTTAGAGATAGTTAAAAAAAACTGAAGATGACTTAAATTAGTTAGATAGAACATGATTTGACTGAACTATGTTGTTGATGAATGTAATTCAAATCGCACTTATTATAGATTATATAAGGTTATAAGATGTGATTGGATTTGTTTTTATCCATTTTTCACTTTTTATATAAACGTATACTAAAACATCATACAGAAGTCATTTTTTTAAACGATACTTCGAAATAATATTAAATTGACTCAATTTATTATCTTTATTTCCGTTTGCGGTTTGCCGGTACTTTGTTTACAACTTGACAGCTAGAGGTTTATAAGCTAGACAAATCTAATGACATCAATAAAAGTTACAACGATTAATCTTATTTCTTCAAAGTGGCATTACGAACAAAAACCACTGATTGTAAGAAAACAAAAATAAAGCGGTCAATTGTTGCCGTTTTTGTCTGAGGCAAAGTTCTATCCTAGCTTAATAGCTTGCTCTTAAAATAAGGTCAGAAAACTGTGATGTTTTTATATCAAGCATAATAGTTATTTATTGTAGTTATTAGATATTAAGAGTGCAAAGAGTGCCAGCAAATAATGTACCTAACTGCATAAGAGTTAATTTTAATTTCAATTAAGTCATCAAGATTTATATTTAAAAACAAAATCTCATGACATAATTTAATAATTTTACTGTTTTTTTTTTAGAATTTTATCTGAAGAATTTAATCTAGTAACAATAGCCCCGATATACATTAAAGGGTATATACATATTTTTTTTTTATGAAAGGTCTAAAAATTGTTTCATTACAATTATAATACATATGTACACCATTGACACATAAGCCAGAATAATATATTATAAGTCATGTAACACCCAATCAATTTTTTAAATAAATTAAACATATCCAGCTGGTCCGTTAGTTTAACGATCCATGTTAATAATTATCATTTATCAATCGACCTAACCGACTTTTTGCTGTTCACATTTGACTATCGGATTTGCTGATATGATATGCTGCAATATGTGGTTCATTTGCATTTTGCACGTTAGCGTGCTTAGTACATACAATAAATTACATTCGTGCGCGAAGAGTCGAACAATACGAATATTGTATAATAGCTATTTAACGTCTTAGTCTATACTATTATCTTAAGTATCTGCTTACTTTAATCGTACATCTACGACGCACAGAATCCTATTGCTGTAAATATTAAATACAATGTACAAGTATTAGCGAGTAACGAGGAAGTCGTAGGAATAAACGGGTTCGCTTGTAGTGGAAACTAGGTAATAATTATTTTTCGTTTAAACATATCTGCATAATATAACATTATAACAGTTTTGGCGACCGTGACATTTAAATTTGACAGACTACAACACTTTAGTTGTATTTAATATCACCGAAATTATGCTGGGATAATTGTTTTTTATTATAATTTACTTTCATACAATATACTAACGCGCCGACTTGAACGTCGTTATATTTTAATGTACTCAGATTTCAGAACATTCCTTTTTTTTTTTTTAAATTGATTTTTTAAGTTGTTTACCAAATTTTATATACACAAACATATTATGTACTACCTTGTTTATTTATGTATTAGTTATTACTTATTACTATCTTATTTACTATGAGCTAGGATTGAAAATATATTTGTATACTTAAATTACTCAACGTCATCAAGTTCCAGACATTAATATACTTCAAATATTTAAGTAAATTTGCCGTTTATAGCGTATGGTTTTGTCCGATAGTTTAACAGATCATCCGACTTGTATAATTAACAGTTAAGATGCTGGGATGACTGTATCAAAATGTTATCGTTATAAATCATTTAACTTCTCACTGTACAGTGTACACACATACCACTCGTCTGTTATATTGAAATATGAGAATAATATTAATGCAATAAAACGTGAACGATTTTTGAGAAAAAACCGGTTTCTTTTGTGTTCTGTCACTGGAAAAAAAAACAGTACGCCGCTACGTGATGGTCAGTCGAAATTAACTCATCACCAAACTTAACCAATAGAAGTACTCGGACATTTACAGTCTGTCTTCAGGTTTAATAATATTTTTCGCCAATAAATTATACATATGTTCATGGGTTTCCCCGGCCAACTCATCTGGCAAATATGTATACAACTATATTATACAGCTGATATGTTTAACGGTAGAAGTACATGGGTTTTAACTTTTAAGTCCGCGTATAAACCCAATAGCTTCTTTTCTCGTTTACAGTTAATACTAAATATGTTCATTAAAATAAGTTTTTTTCGTAATTCTGCCAAATGATTTTTGCAAACTATTACGCACACTACCTTGTGTACAATCATAATGTATTAACACAGTCAAAATAGACTGGCAAAGAACAAAAAAGTTCATTGGCACAACTTCTCTGTGGTGTTTTCTTTAAGAAAATCCAGACAGGAGGTTTAAGCGAATCCTCCGTTTATCTCAATTTCAACTTCTAAAGCGAGTGAGAAAACAATAAGAGACACTATTGTGTACGAGGTCTTGAAAACGTTCCAAAATCAGAGACACGTTTAAGCGGAGCAAGTAGTTTTTGCGTTTCCCCAAATTTTGAAGCCATTAAGACGGGTAGCAAATATATAAGTCTAGGGTTTTTTGTCGTTGGGGAGAGTGGGAGGAAGTTGTAAAAGTGTTGCCATAAAGTGTAAAATGTCCAAGTACGACTTTGTCCAAAATAAATTATGTCCAACGCTCTAAAAAATTTCGATTTGTGTTTTTATTTCGATAAAAAAAAATCCAATTCCTCTGTAACAGCACCGGGGAGTTGGACAGCTTATGGGAAGTTCCATTATCTTACTTAACACTACTTTCCCAACTTGCCGGTGTTATTAAGCCTTTCATATCTATTTTACTTCTCAACCAAACATACTTTGATATCTCAGCGCGGCGGTCCTCGTGCGAAAGAGTTGCAGGTGTCTTTAGAAAAACGGGTAACGTTGTGTTGAATAAACCGCATGATCGATGGCCAGTATTGTTAACCCGTAGCCCGTAGGTATGCGTGTGTCAGTTTCTTTATCCCTTAACCCCTAAGCAAATAATATAGACAGATGGTACAACAATTTATTAGAAGAAAAACCAACAAAGCCTCTGCAATAAAAATGTTATTGTGAAACAACATCACTATGATAATTATGGAAAGACAGCATATAATTTAAAAACCGCCAAATAAGCGGGTACCTACTCAACAAATTTTCAATCGACAACAATAGGTCTTCGCACTAACTTATACATATTTTTTGAGATAAGACTTTTTTTGCTGTTATAGGTACAGTAAGTAAAACGCACGTGTGCATTTTACTTTAGGTATTGCTCCGTTTACGACTTCTTTTAAACCTCAACCTCTTCGATTATTATAATTTTATTATTCACATCGTCTGAAAAGGACAAACAGGCAAATCGTGATAAATTTGAAGTGTATGTTTAAACGAGCGAACTCGCCGACTGCACACGCAATTCGAAAAAAAATAACGTGTCACTGTAGCTAGTTAACGGCTCTCCTTTTGCAGTAAAATTTAGTAATATGTTATGAT